GGCAACATCAGAAATTTCAGCAAAGAACTCGTTGGAAACACTGAAAGATATATTTGATCTCAATCTAATTGTTTTGAAGAATTTTCGTAGAATATATTTTCAAAAGACAAAGAAATACTAAACTGGTGAAGAACTTAGGGTAGTAATATACATAAAACTTAGTAATCAGTATGAATCACCACATTCACACACAGTGGTTTTCAAGTCTCAGAATCTTTGTAGGTTTTTCTCCTCTTCCCTCAATTGTGAGTCATAACTGCAAAAAAAAATCAAACAAGTATTTCTTTATTATGGTATTTCACCAAACACAAGAACTGCTTACAAAGAACATACAAAAAAAGAACATTGACTTGAATCTGACATAACAACTAATTTACCTGCAGATCCATTATCTGGTCGAATTTCAGCTAATGGGTTGACTATAAATCCAGCAGTGTCGTTAAACCGCTGCCTCGAGTCTTGTATCCCGATGGTTTGCGCATTTCTGTTCCTATAAGTGGACAGCCTCGATGCCGAATACTTTGAATCTGGTTTCTTCCAGAATTTGGATCTAATGAAATTGCCAGGAGGAAGGAGACAACAGTTGTTTCTGCTTGAACAGTTATTCATTCTCCCAATTGAAACTGCTAAATCATAAGAAACTTCATCGAGCGCAAGTTCTAAGCCGTGAACTCGAGTTTCCAGACCACGCATTCCATCCTGTGAGCTTCCGATAAATCTCTGATGAAAAAGACACAGAATGAGTTTCAGCAACTCAGGAAATGAAAGCAATCTGAGTGTATGTTTTACAGAAACAAACCTGAAGGAGATCCATTAGATTGGATTGCTGTTGTTCGATCTGAACAAGCTGATTACGGATCAGAGACATATCTTCAAGCCCTTTGCAGTTACGACTATTCTGGTTTTCAGACATGACATGATGTCCTGTTGCCATTGTAGCACCGGATGATGGTGGAATATTGCCAGTAAGAGTACTAGCAACACCTCCTAACTTCTGCATCTTCTCGTAATTAGAATGACTCGTTTCCTTTGTGTTTTCATTATGTGCATGACGTTCTTCTGCCAGAGGCGCACCCGTGGGAATACTAGCTCCTTCAGCTTTCCAGTCCAATCTGCTCCTTACGTTGGATTTAGTACGTGACGGTACTGAGCTTATTTTCTTCTGATCACTGCTCTTTATGTTAGCACGATTCCTAGCAGTGGTGGCGATTGAGCTCCCGGGAGGAGTCGATCTGTTAACCAGACGAGTTCTTGATTTAGCAGATGTTGAACCAACTCTAGAGCGTGAAGGGTATCGTCCATCACTTCCATCATCTCCTCCAATGCCTTAATTCAAGAAAACAGGAGAAGTAACCATCCATGATCTTAGCAACGATTTTCGACAAAGATACTAAACAAGAATTTGTTTTCCTAGTTTGGCTTAAAGATCTAATGGTGGAGGAAGATACCTTTAGAAGAAGCATTAGATCTGGGTGGAGAAATCTCCTCTGATAAATCTGGGACTTGTTTCCATGCTTCCATCATCTGAATCATCACATCTCTCACAGCTTTAACCTAAACGATCACAAACAAAATCAAACTTGAAAAACTCTCATCATCTTTGAGCAAAACCTTACACTCAAAGATCACAGAAAAACAAACCTTATCGTATTTCCTGCTTTCGAAAATCTTCAAGGATCTAGACTTGAACTCTCCTAATTCATTTCTCTCCATCGTCGCTAACTTCCCCAAAGCTTCAGCGGCGGCTTTCCTCGCCGCCCAATCATCACTAACCAAGAAGCTAAGCAAACAATCCACCAATCCTTTCAATCCACCGGAGCTCATAGTGGCTCCGGATACACCACCAGCACCAATCACACTTCCGATCACAACAACTCCCGCCGATTTCGCCTTAAACGCGTTGCACTTCACCAACTTCTCCAGTTTAGGCAATAGTGTTTGCCCTAACCGAACCGGATCCGGATCCTCCGCCGCATCAATCGCCGCCGCGAGACACAACGCCGCTCCGATCTGCGCATTAACCTCCTGTTCTGTGAAAAGCGTATCCGCCAATGGCTTCATAAACGCCGAAGAAAACGGAGGTTTCGTCGTCCGTGAAGAGATCGCCGACACAGCCGCGACGCAGGTTGAGCGGATAGACGAGTCCGGATCACGGAGGCGTCTCGTGATGCGAGCGAGGATCTTAGAGAGAAAAGGAGACAGAGAATTCGGAGGAAGAGAAACGGATAATACAGCGAGCAAGTGAATACAATGCTTACGAACGGCCGGTTTATCGCCGGTGTCGGCGGAGAGTATAACGGAGATAAACGACTGGAGATTACCGGAGGTAGGATCAATCTGTCTAGCCATCAAATCAAGCTCTCGAGCCGCCATTGTGAAAGTATCTCGATCTCCGAGCTTCGTTAACAACACGGAGATCTTTTGCTGCTTCGTGTTCTTCGCCATTTTTCTAATCGGTTTTAAGGTTCCGGCGAGGGTTGGGAAATCAGTGAAGCGGTGGTGGATCTGGCGGGATAAGATGTGGAAGTGGCATTAGTGTAAATTAATTAAAAAAACTTGACGGTGGTCGTCGGTTATAGACGGTTTGGCTCGGTGAGTTTTTTGAGTTTTATCGTCTGTGTGTTGTTCTGTGTGATACTATACAACAGTTTTTATGAGATTGCAAATAGAGACGATGACCTAAAACGATGCCGTTTCTTCAGGTGTCGCGAAAATAATCACGCCAAGGGAACATGTGATGATGTGGAATGATCGTTTCGTTTTCATAAATAATTAAGTTTTCAATTTGATCAAAAAACAA